CCCCCCACATACCAACCAGTACACTAGAAAATTCTTGGGAATATGGCAGTACAAAGATACAACTGGCATTTGTGATGTGATGGCTTCTCGCTCCTCCTTGCACATGAAGAATATGAGTTTCACTCTAGGTTTACGGATAGCTCTTCCTCCGTTCGACACTGTCAGTTTTGTCATCCATTTTTCCAGCTTCATTAATCCTCTGTAACTCTGCCTTCATTTAACCTATTTGCATGGGTGGTTGGCGGGTGCTCTAGTGTGGTTTGCTTCTTCTTTCCTGTCAAACATCTATCGCCCTTATCTATCCTTCTTTTTTATGTTTGTTACTCTCTTGTAACACCTCTAATCTTCTGGTGCTCATATATGACCTAATGCAGCTGCGAGCGTCGTAAAACCTCTACTAAAACTAAACAAAACCTATTTGCAGAACATTAGCACCAAACTGAGTTGAAATGAAAGTTCCAAGCAGTAAGCATACAATTTGATTTTATATATAAAATGAAATTGCTATGGTTTGGTATATATTTTTTATAACTATAAACAACTGAGTAATGCCATGTACCAGATGAACTGACATACTATATATAGAAGAGTTAAATGTCCATGTGGGGATGTGTCATTTTCAGAAGCTACATCATTTTGTCTTATTTTGCTCTGAGGGTAGAGTAAAACAGCTTTCCTCTGGCAGGCTCTGTTTTGTCACTACAGACTGATGGATGACTGTCTTTATGCTATATTGGTTTACTTTTTGTGCCCTGCAATGATGAAGAGACAACTAAAAACATTTTCTTTCTTTCTTTTGAACTTTTCGCATTGTCTTTCTTTCTTTTCCATCTTTTTTTCCCCTTTTTGTCTTATGTTCTTTTCCTTTTTTTTCTTCATTCATTCTATCTTTCCATTCTCCTGTCATCAGGTCGCTGCTCATATGTTTGCCGCACGCCAGATGGTAGCATCTTATCCAACATTTTCCGCATCATTCGCGAAGCTTGGAAGAGGAAACGCCAACGACAGCAGCTCCAGCGCATCCACTCGAAAACAGAGTCAGAAGGGTAAATAAATCAACAAAGAGATATTGTGGTTGTATTTCTGTAGTTGTTGATATGTTGTTGTTGTTGTTTCTATAATATTCTTATAAGCGGGTCAAAGAGATGTTGTCTGTAATACTGTAACCTTAAAAAAAAGAATAAAAGAATTTTTGTGACTGCTGGTATGAGTACAGTAAAAATTGTCCAAGGTGGCCTCCCATTTTTTTAGGAGAAAAGTGGTTGTCCTCAATAGGTGAATGACTAGGATTAAGTCATTTATGATATGAAAAAAAAATGCCAGGATGGAAGTGGAAAATGGTCGTTTATACATTCATGTGATTGTTGTGGACAGGTGGTAATTAGAACAGGTTTGACTATTTCTCAACTGCCAAAAATAACCTGTCTCTTCCAGCTCTTCTCGGGAGATTGACGAAGCGTCTGTAGAGGAAAGGATCAGCTTCCTGGACTATGCCAAGCACAGATACGGCGGGATCTTCCACAACTCGCTGGTTGACGACGTGAAGAAACTGAAGATGATTCTGGCTGTCTTCGCCGTTCTCATACCTTACTGGATTGTCTACTTCCAGGTCAGGGCTTCTGTTTTTTTTGGTTTTGGGGGTTGTTTTTCTTTTGGCTGTGGTCAAATGCTTTTAGTTTTTTTGCTTAATGCATATCAGCATCTTTATATTTGTTATTCAAAGGTCCTGATTTTCTGGATGAATCTGGAAATCTGGGTTTCTGAATTATCTGGATCATGCACTGTGTGACATTGTGATGCAACCAGCCTCTTGTCGAAATATTGAATTTAAAGAGAGGAGTATTTTTCTGCCCAGTGGGCAATTTTAAGAATTGTTTGGGTTTTTGTTTGTTTTGGCTGAACACCTTTTATGTCCGTTTAAAAACACATTTATGTGTGAATGTTACTAAATAACTTTGATCAAAGGCTGAAAAAAATATAAATTTGCAGTTTCCAAGGACACTCAAGTTTTGGAAGTCATAAAACTCTTACTCTTACTAATTTTACCATGTGACCTCCACCTCCTTCAATTTTTTTTTCACCAAAGTAAGACATATGAACAAGCTTACAGGGGATACCAATAATTCCACCTGCCCAGAAATTGATGAGGGCATGATTTCACCATGTCATGACTCGTATCATAATATATAAAGATAGTTTCCATGCAAGAAAGACAATATTATTATGATGCCTAAATTTTGAGTTCCCGTGTTTCCACAAAGTTTGAAAAGTTCAAGATTTAATTTGTAGCCATTCAGCTACGTTGGTTGGTTGTTGTGGAATGTATGGGGCTGTTTTTCTAGACACAGGTCAGCTTCTCTGTCTTTGTTGTGGTTAAATGCATTTTTTTTTGCTGGTTGTCGAATGCATTATTTTGCTAGTCCCAAAATCAGAATTATTTTCCTTTGTTGTGGTCAAATGGTCTTGTTTATTTTTTTTGCTAGACACAAGTCAGCATCTTTATAATTTATTTGTTAAGGTCATGACTTGGGGGGGGGGGGGGGGGGACATAAAAAAAAAATTGGGCCAAAACCTTTTTTTTTTTTAGACAAACATACAAGGATTTTTTTTTTTGGAGGGGGGGGGGGGGGGGGTTGTGGATCCGTTTCTGTTTTTTGACGCTGCTCTGCTTTAAATGATGCCAGTACCTTGTGATGGACTTGAGTTCTTGCTCCCTTTCCATTCATTTTCCTCTACTTTTTTTCTGTTTGTCCTTCTCCAATCTAACGTGAGGGGGTACACATCATAACAGCATCACAGTAACAGCCTTGCCTGTATCCAGTGTGAATTTGACAAAACATTCTTTTGTTTTAACTTTTTTTTTTTTGGTAGGTGTTTTATGGCGCTTGCAACTGCATAAGGTCATATGAGCACGCGGGACACATTAAGCATTTTCAGTTGGTAGGAAATTTTGAATTTTGCGCGGGTGATGGCCGAAGCTTACTCTAATCGATTTTAGACCACCAAGTCACCAAGGGATCTGAAATATGCGCAACTTGCACATGGGACCTCCTAGATTTTTCGCCTTTGTTCGAGAAGGCTGGGTGTAGATCTTTCCTACCTTAAGATCAGGGATGTGGCTGAAAAACAGCAGTTCTAAGGAGCCAAGGAGTAGCAGTAGAAAGCTGCAGAAAGAGTTATAAGCCCAGAGGAGGGCAGCAAAGGAGGTGAGGGGTGGGGGAAGAAAATGGAGACGAAAGCAGACGACAGAACATTGCTAGAGAGCAGGACAGGAGGTGAAAGGAGACAATTTTAGAGAAGAAAATTTTTCAGCCACTACCCGAATTCGAACCCGGGACCTTTGAATGAGAGGCTATCACCTTAACCTCTAGGCCAGGAGAGCCCCCTTTTAACGTTTGCTCTCCCTGGGTCTCATCGTAAGAGCTTGTATCCTTATGTGGGACGCGACGTTATGTCACGTCTTGTCCTTGTTGCTCTAAAGTCTATCAAGTAGGATTATAAATATGCTGTCTCCTTATACACGACGCGACGTAAAGTGGCTCACGACTGTCGCGTCTGATTAGTCCATGTGGCGATCGAGAGTCACGTCGTGTGAGACAGACTGGGGGTGTGGCAGGTTTAGAGCATCGCCATTGGTCAAAATACCTCGCAAGGCGTGCCCATGGTCGACACGCCGTGATTGTGTGTGTGTGTGTTTGTGTGTGTCGGTGAAGGCAAGGTTCGAGGCTATGTGCAAAAAAAACCCCTTGCTACTGTCTTTCTGTTATGAACTGCCAGTCGCTCTTGCGATTTACCAGTCGCGCTTGATGTAATGTCGCATCGCGCAGGAGACAATTTTGTCGCAAGCGACTGAAAATTTGGGCGCAGCGTAGTCATGCATAAGAGTACACACCTCGCGACTGATCGCGAGCGACTGTCGCGCTCGACTTTAGGTCGCTTCGCTCATAAAGATACATAGGCTAAGTTTGAAATTGCTTCAAGTGTGCTTCAAGGGGTACTATTAGAAACTACGGTGTTTTTTTTTTAGCACAATTGGAAATGACATCAGTACTTAGTGAAAGAGTTATACTTACTGTGCTCCTGCAGACCCCAATTTTTAAAAAATAATTGTAAATGTATGTTTTACGTCTTTACACCTCTACCCCGCCCCCCTCCTCTGCTTTTCCCTGTCTCTTGAATGGTTTTGAAAACATTAACATTGAAATAATTACGTCCACAGATGCAGACCACTTTTCTGTTCCAAGGTTTACACATGAGGCTTGGGTTCACTCCCAGCCAACCCTTGTACAATTTGAGCACTACTGTGGTACCCAGTGCTGTCCCATTCCACAACACCACGTCCAGCCAGAAACCTCAAGTAAGTCTGCTGGGGTGGGTAGTTTGCAGATGCTCCGGTGTGGTTTTTTCCTTCTTTCTGATCAAACATCAATCATCCTTATCCCTCCACCTCCTTTTCTTTGTATGTTGGTCTCTTGCAACGCTTCTAATCTTCAGCACTTCTATGACCGATTTGTGTAGCAAGTGACACAAAACTAAAACTAAAACTAAGTCTATTCTTCACCCGTCACCTACACCTACACCTACTCCTTCACCTATCCCATCGTTTGGCTTATCTTTAGGGCACCTATGTAGATTTTGCAACAGCCTCTTCCACTCCTCGCAATTCTCAGCTTTCTCCAGTGAAATGTTCGAATTACAGCTAGTCCACTCTTTGATGTTGCCTTTTTCATTGTTTCTTCTGTCTGCTTCTTTGTCTTCATCCTTGTCTTGTTTCCTATAGAATAGTCTTGGCTAGTCCAGATGATCATGTGACATGCTTATACCACTTCAGTTTGTGTCCGAATTCAGGAGGGGGGGGGGGGGTGTTATTTTGGGGCTGGCTTTCTGATTAATTCCAACCGGTGGTTTGTGATACTGAATCCACTGGCATCTGTGATGTAATATTGATTATCTTCACTCACAGTTTCACGTAGAAGGTGTGAGTTCAGTTCTCAAATGGGGACATTTGTTATCGAGCATATTTGTCTGTGTGCTGAGGTATTGTATCCCTCTCAGCCTGGGTTGGCCGTGACAGGCAATCTCAAAGTATTTTGCCTCATAAATTATCTAGAGGGTGTTAAACTTTCAGGAAAAATTACAGAAACAAATAAGGACAATTTTCATTTAAACACGTCAGACCTGTAAATTCTTCTGTAATGTTTTTTTAAAAAACTTTGGATAATCAAATTTTGATTTCTTATCCCACTGAATATGGTCATGGTGTGCTTCCTTCTATGGAAAGGTGGCTTTGTGAGGGTATATGACAGTCATTAGGACAAATTTCTCTAAAGGTTGCTGCCCCTGGCTTGGTGATTGCAATGAGACTTATCTTCATCAATGCCCCACACTTTTAGCAAGGCAAATGCCATGGACAAGCTATTTCAGTCCTTTTCTGTCTTGGGCAATCTTGCCCTACTGACCCCAGTTGTGCCCCTCCTTCAACATATCCTTCTCCATGTAGTTTCCATGTCTCCCATGGGTGGGTGGTTGATGGCGGTGTGGTTTGCTCTTTCTTTCTTATCAAACATCTATCGTGCTTATCTTTCCTTCTTTTTCATGTTTATGTTACTCTCTTGTAACACCTATATTCTTAAGCACTTAAATGCCCTTATTATGCTGCAAGTTCCCTTAAAAACTTTACAAAAACTATGGCCTCCCATGGCCTATCCCCAGTGGGTGGTTGGCGGGTGCTCTGGTGTGGTTTGCTCCTTCTTTCTTATCAAACAACTATCGTCCTTATCTCCCTTCCTTCTATTAACTGTTTGTTAATCTCTTGTAACACCTAATCTTCGGCACTTATATGACCTTATTGTGTTGCAAGTGTCATAAAACTCTTACTAAAACAAATGGCCTGCCCTGCCACCTGTTCCCTGAGGATTCTACGAAGTACATGTCTGTTGATGCTGTTTCTTGCTTGGTTTTCAAATGGTGTGTCTTGTCCAGCGCTGTCTACACAGCTCTGTCTCATCTCCCATTGGCTCTTGTCCTGTCTTGTCCCAAATTTCTTCATTTCTGACTGTGTCTTGCCATTTAATCTTGACATTTTTTGGGGGGGACAACTGTTGACAAATCTATGGACTTTTTTGAGTGCATCAGGTGTGGCTTTCCATTTCTCACATCCAAACAGTCGCGATAGCTTTATAGTAATGGGAATATTGGAGTCAATGGAAGGGTCTGTGAAAGCTACTTGCAGTAAATAATGATATAATAATTATATTAATAATAATATTATAGAATAATAATAATAATAACAACAACAATGATGGTAATAATAATAATAATAATAACAACAACAATGATGGTAATAATAATAATAATAATAATAATAATAATAATAACAATGGGCACTTTTGTAGTGCCTAATTCCTGTAAAGCTCTAAACACTGTACAGTGCAGAATTACCATTCAGTACAATTTACAAATCAAAAGACAGAAAATGTACATTGTGAGACTATATAACAACAACAACACACACACACACACACACACTCACACACACACACACACACACACACACACACACACACACATATACGCATACACAGACATACACAACTCACGGACCCGCAAACATTCTGACATACCAAAAACTACTAGCAGAGGACAGCGTTGAATAAATGTGTCTGATAAAGTGATCACAATGTATGCCCAGTTGAGTAGATGTGTTTGTCCAAGAAAAGAAAGACCCTGGCTATTGTGCACTAGGTGAAACGTTTTGATATTGGGAGACTATACCTTACTTTTACTTAATAAACGCTTGATTTTATGCTAACTGGGATGTTAGCCAATGGTATCTTTGTCGCATGTCAGCGATATCTCACAGGCCATCTTGTACTTGTTCAAATTTCCGATTGTTGATAGTTTTTGCCACAGTGTCAAGGCTGTAGAAAAATGTTCCCTTTGAAGCCAAAATTATTACGGTTAATGCCCGTGTTCAGAAAAATTTACGTTTAATTTTGTATGCACTCCCTTTTTCACGTCTGGAATTCAGTGTTTTCAAAGTAATTTACATCAAAACTTAAATCTGTTTTGTAACAGATGTGTTCTATCTGATGTACACACTGAACAAACATTTACTTACTTCAAAACTGGAGCAGAGCAAACTGTAGGACACATCCTCCAGGGATGCAGGCCACATAGAGCCCTAAGACATGACACATGACCAAACAAATTAATACTACAGAAGAAGTTATACAGACAAACAGGTGAACTATACTGGACCACCCCATATATGATAGACATCGGTCTTCAAGTGTGATGCAATTGAGAAGAAGAAGAAGAAATGGAAGAAGATCAAAATTGGAAAAATGGAGTTATAATACAAGACGGCACTAAACTTGCGACCTGTTTTTGTTTTGCTTTCCTGGTGGGATTGTTATTCCTGGTTACATTGTTCGTCATTGGCTGTTTGGACGTGTTAGTTGTTTTTCTTCTTCTTTGCATTCCCTTCTAGGTTTCAGGGATAATCGACTGCTAGTTCATCAACTTGCAGCACAACAGATTTTTTCTGTGTATAACAGTTTTTACGACTTTGTGGGGTCCTTTGCCTTCAGGCAGCCACATTTCGATTTCAAAGGTACTCTGTATGTTTTCACACTTATTGGAGTATTTTCAGTTTTGATAGGAATTAATTTTGAATTTTGCCCCAGTGGCGGCCAGAGCCTGCTCTGATCAATTTAAGATATTTAGTGATTTTGATCCAGATATATGTAGTACAACAAAATGAACATGCCCTCCTCCTTGTTCTCTCTTGTGCGCTAGTTTCATCATCTGCATCAGAACTGGACAGATACAAGGGATAGACCCCAGGTTTGTTTGTCAGACTGCATGACAACATGTAGAGTATTCCCCCTGAATATCTCTTGTTTTGCTTGTTTATGTATTTCATCATTTAAATATTTATTTGTGGGGTTTTTTCTACATGTTTTTGTAGTTTTCTCGCTGCCTCGATCACCATAGAGGCTTATTTTGCTTGAACCATGCATAGTATTCAAGCATTCCTGGCTCCACCCCTCACCTCACCCCTGAAACACCAGACAAATTTTAATTCAAAAGCTTTCACGCACAAATTCTCCCATGTAATAGATACCAGTGCAATCCCTGCTGTTATTTAAATTATATTTCTTCGCTTATTGTAGATTTTGAGATCACATTGATGCTCTCAAAAGCCACACTTCACCGCAATTTTGCTCTTTTTGTTTCATCACATTTGAGAGTTTTTTTTGGGTCATAGCAATTCTCCTAAAAACCCACACACTGTGGCAAAGCATTGTTTGTTGGTTTATTTATTTACTTTTTTGTTAAAGGGGGAGGGTTCTCTCTTGACAGTTTTTGAAAGTATACCAATGCTCCCAAAAAATCGCATCTTGTACAAGTTTAACCCTGCTCTTGACTGCCTAATAACAATGTCCCTTGTGATTTTATATATAATCATCACCAGCTTGCTTACCGGTTCGTCTTATGCACGTTTCCACCCCTTCCACCCCCACCCCTCGTTACATTATGATTCCACTTTGTGATTTCTCTTCTATTTTTCAAAACCATTATGGAAGTGTAATCAAATGGTTGGAAGGCACAGGCTTCTGTCATGTAGTGGTTCTACACTTCGCTGTTGCACACAGGAGACCCGACTTCAATTCCCAAGTGGAGAGAAGTTTTTTTTCGAGTATCTCAGTCTTTCTACTGGGATGTTGCATCCCTCTTAGCCTGGGTTGGCCCCCTGACTGCAGAGGTGAAGCCCACCTCTTAATTGATCTAAATAGTGCCTGCGAGGGCTATAAAACTTCTACAATGACATTTTTTGATAGGAGGGTACCAGTGGTAGGTCCTACTTCTTTCTTTTCCCTCTCTTGCTTCTTGCTGTCTGTCTGTCTTTCTTTTCTTTTCTGTCCACTAAATGACCGTTTTGTCAATATGCTTCTTTTTCCTTAAAAGAAATTAACAAAACGTTTCTTTTTATCCTTGTCCATTCAGAGTTGTAAATGAATGTATAACTTCGTGTGGCTGCTAAATAAATTGTGTGTGGGTGAAAGGGGGGGGGGGGTTGTTAATAGTCAAGTGGGTAGTTTCAGGGTGCCACTGGTAGCTAGTTCCTGCTTTTTTTCTTTCCCTCTCTTTTTTTCTGTCTACCTTTCTAGCTTTTTCCCCAACTTTTAACTGACAGTTATTGTGTCAATGTATTTCTGTTGACTCTAGCATTAATAGCATATTCTGTTGTCTTTTTAAAAGCTTTTAAAGTATACTAGCTGGGCCCCATTTCGATGAAAGGAATGATCGGTGCATTAACATCAACAGAAAGTCATTGGCCTACTCTACTGGAATGGAGCAATAAATCTTGAGAGATGCAAAAAATTAGAAGGTCTAGATCCAGATCTATACTCTCGAAACAAAATGCGCCTCTCAAAATATCACTTCCGCACCGGATTTTCTCAAATTGCAGAGACAGAAGCGTCGGCCTACAAAAGCGTTCGGCGAAATAAAGAAATTTAGCTTTTTGCTGCAAAACTCTCTCAAAACTGAAAAAACGAAAGGCGACTTGATCTGGAGAATATTTTAAAGAATCTTTTGGCAAAAACAGCATGTCGATCGATGCAGCTATTAAAAAGCCTTTTAAATAGCAGAATTCGGCCACCATAAATAGATAATAGATTCTGTAATGGCTAATGTGTCAGTGTATAAAGTTGTGTGGTCTCGTAATAATAGATCTTTGATGTGTGCCATGAAGGCTCCGATGAGAAATATTTTAAGCCGATTGCATGTTTTTCCTCAGTTTTTGTAATTGTATTTATTTTTATTAAAAGATTGTGTAGATCGTTTTATCTGATATTTCAGAGTTTTCATTCCCAAATTTATTGCCTTCTCCCACTGAATTTCTTTATGTACCATAGATAAGTATGTAAAAACACTTTTCCGTTTGGATTTGACCGAAAAACATTGATCAAAGGCAAACAAAATTTTAATTTGCAGTCCCTTTCCAAGGACACTCAAGTTTTGAAATTTACATTTTGGTAATCATTCTCTTGCTTATTTTACTTCCTACTCCAATGACAAATTATTATATAATATCTCGACTTCTGTTTAAGATAGATGGGTATTTTGTCTTCAAAAGAAAGAAAAGTGAGCCAGCTTTAAGATGATGCCAATTACTCAATATGCCTGAAAATTGATGATTGCCTGAGTTGATTCAACAGTGTTGTGACACATTTGTCTGTGCATGTTGATTTTTGAAAACTAAAATAGTTTTATAAGATAAAATAAACTTACTTTATCCATTGGGGTAATGTTGGATGGATATACCAGATCACCTGTATGCAAAGATTCAGCATGAACATAGAAATGCTCTCATTACATTCAAATTGCCTTTCACTCCTCCCTGAAATTCTTCCTCTCCTATACTCCTCCGCCTCCTCCCCCACAAAGGTATAATTGGCTATTGTAGTATGCAATACACATTAAAAATCCAATCTATTCCCTGACCAGAGGCCTGAAATATGCTTGAATGTAAGTTACTTTTATTTTTTATGAAAACTGGTTTTCTTACATTTTTCAATTTTGATTGTTGAGGAGGCAGGCTGCTTTGACCCTTTCTGTAAGGGTATTTCAATCATTCTTTGACATAACACAAGGGAATTGAGCCTGATCTATCACATGGAAGGTTACCATTCGAATCAAGGGGTGAGATTCCAATTGCCCATCACTCCTCCTCCTTAAAATTCTTCATCTCTTATGCTTATCCGCCCCCGCCCCCACGAAGTATAATTGGCTATAGTAGTACGCGCTTGCCCTTGTTTCACTACAACATGAGTATAGTTGTAATAGTCTTAAGCCCACCCCCTTTCCACTGCATGATTTATATATTTAGGAGGTAGGCTTCTCTGTGCATGATTTCTGAGTTAACAGGTGCTGAGAGAATTGCAACAAACTTGGCTGACTGATGGAAATCTTCCATAAATAACACACCCCACCCGGTAATTGAACTTGCACCTTCTGTATGCAACGATGAATGCCTAACTACTCCTTCACAGATTCAATTGTATGAAAGATGAAAGGAGACTCAACCCCCACCCCCACCCCCACCCCCCACACACACACACACAAAAAACCCAAAAAAAAGAAACAAAAGAAAACGAACAAAAAATCATATTCTTTCTACTCCTCACACTGCAGGGTCTTTCTTTTGGAGTGAGTGAAAGACCAACGAAAGGCGATAAATAAAATCAACATTCTTCTTCCTCTCCTTCAGTCTACTCCTCCGAATGCAGAATCAATCTTCAGAAATGAGTGAAAGACCAAAACAGAAGGAGATACAGTTGAACTTAAAAAATTCATTAAAATGACATTGACCGAGACGTCTAACTGATAATGACCTTTCTCCTTGAAAACGTGTAGCCATCGTGAACAATTTCAGCTATATTATATGAAATCAACATTCTCCTTCCCACTTCTTCTTTCTACTCCTTGGAAAACGGAGTTCATCCTCTGAAGTGAGTGAAAGACCCAAAAAAGAGGACATTTGAAATAAACACTCCCACTCCTTCTCCTCCTCAGATCGTTGCGGCTTGGTTCTCCTTGTTCGACGCCATCTTCGTCATCATCCTCCTGCCATTGTTCGACCGCGTCATCTACCCCCGTCTGTCTCAGGCTGGCTACCCGTTCACTTTCACGAAGCGCGTGGTCCTGGGCATGGTCTTTGCCATGGCGGCCATGTTTGTGGCAGGGGTGGTGGAGCATTATCGGCTGAAGGAGTTTTGGCCATACCCCGACCACCCTTGTCTGAGTAAAGGGATTAATCAGATTATAGGTAGGTATGAGGAATAACAATTGAGGGATTAACCAAATTATAGGTAGGTTAGAGCATGGTGTCACTTTTCGCCCGATTCTATTAATTTTAGTTACCGTGGCTCAGCAGCCCTCCGGAGCTCCTTAGCTCGGGGTCTCTGGGTTAATGAGCCGTGAAGCCACTTTGCCAGTGACGGTTAAGAAGGCCGCATTTTTGCCTACGTTTGAAACGCTATAACTTCTTCCCCACCCCACACAGCAAACCATTACACTGTTGTACTAAAAGCTCAATGTCTTGAGATTTATTCTGCGTTAGAATGATTCATTCCTGTCCCTTAGTTTTTGTTCTAGACAAGTGTTTGTAGAGTTCCCAGTTTGTCCTATTTTAGTTACAAACTTATGAATAAATGATTGTTTATTTAAAAAGGGCACGACAGATCTCTCCAAAATCTGTGTTAAACTGACTACGAATATCATGTCTTTTACCATGAGAAATCTTAAATCTGCGCTAGTAGTAACAGTCAAGTTTTTTTAGAAGAAAAATGCACATCTGCTTGTTTTACCTAAAGACACTCGACGTTAGCTCTTGTTTTACTATTAAACAAGAGAAACTTACACTGTGTTTGCTCATGAGTCATGCTGTCTGTGGCAGCCTGCATACAACTAAGAAAGATATATTCTGCGATTTAAAACCCCCCCCCACAAAACTGTAAATACATGAATAGAGATAAACTTCTTTTATGGAATAAAAATAATGACAGCTGACACCTTCGTTCTTAGTTTTCGTGTTGGAAATATGCATGGACACTTATGAATGTAAAGAATCGGAACATTGTCATTTATTGCAAATGGTCATAGAAACGAATATAAAAGCTGGAAAAGTCTGATGCTGATTCAGTGTCACTGGAAAGCTAGAAATTATTCTTATAACCCAATTAGGAGAAGTAGTCCCTGTTATTCAGTCAATTTACAAAACCTAGTCTTAGCGTTTTAAGAAAAGTAAGGAATTTGTGGAGTGTAAAAGATACTGTTCGTGTATTACATTGTAGATGTTCTGGCAATAAGATCGATTTTTACTTTGTCATAGAAAGATTTCAGTGTAATTTTTACAAACTTTCGAGAAAATATGCGAATATTCACGATTATATTAGACCAATAAAGTTGTATTTGGAAGAATTACTTCATAGCTAATTGTCTGCCAAATGGATTAAATTGCTAAATTACGGCTTTCTATTATATGCGCTGATACCGTCTTTTCTGAGTATCTGCACCTATGTTATGTCGTTCATTTTCCAAAAGTTTGACAGTTTTTGTAGTGCCATTAATTGAAAAAATTTTTTTTTTCCATTCGCACTTGTAAAAAAATTTTTACAATATAGCATTACCGACTTCAGCGCGTCTAACGAAATAACCAGACAAGTTACAATGAATCTCCATTCTTTTTTTGGCCTCAAGAGCACAAATGCATGCTTTGGGTGCATTAAATGATAATTACCATAAATATGGAGACAGGGAGCTGACCGCCATGACCCCGACGTGATAAGGCGCTCGGCTGGGAACCCCCCGCTGCAACTAAAATTCCACTGCTGATGTGCCCTGAGAGAGATAGCGGTGAAGAGATCAATTGTCGAGATCATAGATCACAGTTGTAATAGTTACCACATTATAGGCTGGTGTGGAGAATAACAGTCAAAGATCAATTAACCACATTATAGAAAATTTTAAAGAATAACAGTCCAAGGATTATTTGATCGAATTAAAAGTAGGTTTGGGAAATTAACTCTTAAGAGATTTATTAACCACATTAGGAATGGAGAATAACAGTGGAAAGACTAAATCTTGCACAGCTTCAGAAAAGGGCGGAGAAGGTACAAAGGGCGAATAACAAAATTTGTTCAGTTGGATGGGGAAGATCTAATACAAATTTCTTCCCAAACCGTCATTTTACTTTTTCTCTGCAGGAAATACGTCTTATATGGCTGCGGACATGTCAGTGTTGTGGCAGATCCCACAGTACGCTCTCATCGGGATCAGTGAAGTGTTCGCCAGTGTGGCCTGTAAGTGCTGTCTGTCAGCTATAATTTTTCATGCCTGTCATGTGTATTTTAGGGGCCCCTAAATATCCTTTTTTTCAGCCCTTTATTGTTTTCATTTCTCTCAAATGGGCTAGACTTCTTGAAGTGCCAGATTTGAAGCAGACATTTGTGATCACGGTACACCACTCATTTTTCTGTTTGGCTGCTTTAGAAAAGTCTGATATTATCCTGGTATTTCCCTATCTCCCTATTCAAGTGGAAGATTTTTTGCAATAAGAACTGTTTGTCAAAAAGCTACTAGTATTTTAGAGCCTTTCTCTTACTATCAAATCCACTGTAACAGCCACATGTCCAAGACAATCACCTGTACAAATGGCCACTTCCCACTTCCTGCCTTGCATTGTTTTTACATAATTGCCTTGGACAATTTGACTGTATTTGTAGAGTTGGTAGTCTACTGTAGTCTAGTGGTTAGGCTACCTGACTCACAAGGTTGCAGGGCTCTAGGCTCAAGCCTGCCATTGTGTCCTTGGGAAAGGTGCTTTACACGAGTTTTCCTCTCATCTCCCAGGTGGGGATAAGCCCTCAGCCATAAAAGTGGAAACGTCTTGTCAGTATGTCAGTGTTTCAGCACCTATAAAATGGGTGCTTGCACTGTATACTTCCCAGGAAGATTGTCTCGGAATGCTATATTGTCCACTGGGGTAATTATATTTATTGTAAGGCTCATAGAACTTGCTGTTGAATGGAAATTTGTGCTATACATCTACTATTGCTATCAAGTCTTGGGTAATAATACAGATTGTGAAACTGTTGAGTGGGAATTTGCGCCATACAACTGCTATTTATTATATGTTATTTCCTGATCTCTTTCCTCAGGCCTCCAGTTTGCGGTTTCTGTTGCCCCGCGCTCAATGAAAGCCATCATCACCGGCCTCTTCTACTTCTTCTCGGGGCTCGGCAGCTTTCTAGGCACTGCCATCTTGAACATCCTGGCCGCCAGCCGAACGTGGTTCTTCGACCAGGATTTCGGCAACATCAACTGTCGCCTCCCGTGCCCAACCCCGGACAGCTTGGACGTGCAGCACAAGTGCCACCTGGACTACTACTTCTTCATGCTGGGGGCTGTTGAGGCGGCGGCACTGGGGCTGTTCTTGCTGGTGGCCCGCAAGTTCCAGCTGGGCGCGGAGGAGTTGGTGCCCAACCTGCACAACCCCGCGGTGAGAGCACGGGCGCAGCACGTGCAACGGCAGGCCAGTCAGGACACTTTCTCAAACACTGTCACTGTCTCCTCTTCCTCCTAGTGGGGGTGAATGTGTGTCTTTTGTCTTCCAGCACCCCTTTCCCCCCCTCTCACCCATTTTTTACCTCTGCGTCTCTTCACACACTCAAACACACACACATAAACACATGCACTCACTCACACACATACACATACTTGTGATTGTTCATGGAGCTGGGGGGGGTTTTTTTGGTTTGTGTATTGCATTTTTTTTTTTTGGTTGTTGTTTCGGTTTATTTTATTGTCTTTGATATGAATTCTTCCTAAGAGGCAGGCCAACTAGAATACTTTTTCAAAAACACTCTCCACCTCATAGTGGAGATTGTCGTCTTTTCTTTGAGGTCTTTCTGTTTATGGATATCGTTTTATTGTTACTTTTCTTCATGCCATTGATATTTATTTCCCTTCTGTACACTGAACGCATGTCTCAGTGTGTAGTGGTGTTATTCCAGCAGAGGACCCAAAGGAACTTGGATGCAAGGGTCCTATCAGCTCCACAGGTCAAGGTTCACACCATTAGCTTCATTCCAACTGTGCATATGATATTTTTTTTTTTAAGTTTTGAGGAAACGAAAGAAAAAGAGAGTGCCCAAATCGGGACCATGATGCAGACGCTCAATATTTTTAGATTAAGATCTAGGGAAGAAATAATGAAACAGAATGATTCTATATTGTAAGATGCCCTACAATGTCTTTATTTGTATGACAGCTTTTTCTTGGAACCCCCAGAAATTGATTGTGGGATGGTGGAATCACACTTATGAAAAGAATTAAAAATTCTGCAGATGTGTCTTTAAAGTTGACACTTTAAATCTTTTTGTTCTATTCTCTAATGTTTATTTACTTTTTTCTCTGTTTAGCAAAACCCTTTGCTTAGCAATCTGCCCAAGAACTTACCGTTATGTATATTATAAAGTATTGAGAATATTTAAGAACAAAGCAAACAATGGCCACTCTCAGGTTTTTTTAATGATATTTCCCCCAACCCACCCCTTTTTTCCTTTCAATAATTCATATTGAAATTCATTTTCCCTATTGTAGGCTGTGGTGATTGACTGCTATGGATCCATGAAAGTTTGCAATATCAGAAGTGGGAAACAAACTACCCTGCGTTTTTCTCTCTCAGTCGCTTTTTGTTTTGTGTTTAGAGTGGGAATCTACATGACATCAGTCCAAAAATTTTGTTTTATCAACATGTTTTGATCCCTCATTTTCTTCCAAGATTTTGAGTCAGCCAAATGAAAAAGATTTTTAAAGTTTGTGTGATGAAATGTTGCAAAACTGAATGGGAAAGATAGTGCTAGTTCAGGGTTTTATGGGGAAAAGGGTATGTGTACTTGCTTTGGTTGGGTTTTTTTTGCAGGAGACAAGAGAAATAATGTGTTTTATTATTTTATATGTCATAAGTAAGTAGCCTTTTTCTGAGCCAAAATGCAAAGCTTGATTGTTCTGACTGCTTTTTTTTTTTCTTCTGGTTTGTACATTTTCTTTTATAATTTATTGCTAAAAGTGTCACAAAACTGTATTAGTATTTATGTATGATGTACAGATATCAAGCTTGATTTAATCATCTTGCTCTTTTTTTGTGTGTGCTGGTTGTACATTTTTAAGGTGAAATTTGTTGCTTGAAAGAACAACAAAGGCGTCCTTGTATGTATGTTTTGCTGACATGATGCAAGTAATCAGAGCAAGCTTAAGTGGAGCAGGCAATTTTGTTTGTGTATTAGGGACATCATAGCAGGATCAGGTCAGAAAATTGAAAAGGCTGATGCTTATTTGTAAAAAAAGAATTGAAAAAAAAATCCCTATGAACTTTGACCCATGTTGCTGTAAAAGCATAAAAAGCACCTGTCTCAGTTTGGATTATGTATTTATATATCATCTTTTCTTTCGTCATTGTATTATTCGTGCTATAAGAAGCGCAGATCAAATACAATGGTTCAAGAAACATTTTTTTTCCCTGGCATCCACAGGGAAAATAGGCAACGATACAAAATGGAAGTTGTGAGGATATGAATTTTAAAGGCTTGAAGACTCATATATTTCATTTCTGTTCCATAGTTAAATGGGACATCAAACAGAAATGATGAACCAACTGTCGAGTAGATATGAAGTTATGAGTCTCTATAAGCTTTTAGAATTGATATCTTACAATTTCCATTTTGTGTCCATGAGCATTTTTTCCTTGATTCCTCATTTTTAACCATAATTTTTTGGACAGGAATATCATTTCACTAGCTTGACGGATCCCACTGGCTTATTCAGACCACAGCAGCTGTATCTGACCAATACTAATAGAGTGACAGAAGATTTTTTTAGTTTTTCTGTTCTATATATATCAGGAAGGATTTCAGGGTGAGATATCTGGAGGAGCCAATGGTGGCTGGTAAAGACTGCAGGGTACCAGATGTCAGAGTTTTATCGTAGTTATTTTGAGATATTTTAGTTTTAAAGTTTGGAGCCTTATACTGTTGAAATTACACAAGATATCCACTCATTGTTGAGTGGAAAAGTGGTTGTTTTAGACAGATGGATGACTTGGAAAGTGCCATTGTACTATGCAATTTTTTAATAACCCACCAGAGAAGAAGTGGGAAGTGGTCGTGTGTACAGGGGATTGTCCTGGACAGGTAGCCGTTAGGGCTGGTTTGACTGCATCTTCGAAAAGGATATAAAATTTTCTTCCTTCATTTTTGCAAAGACCCTGCCATTTTTGTCCCCTAGATATTATGTTAAAGTGTTATGAAGTGTTGTGGCGTCGGTGGCTTAGTGGTTAGGCTACAGGATTCGTCATGGTGAGGTTGCGGGTTCGGGGTTTCGAGCCGCTGGCCCGATGTTGTGTCCTTGGAAAAGGCACTTTACACAAATTTTCCTCTCTTCACCCAGATGGGAATGGGTACCCGGCCATAGACAGTGAAAGATCTTGTCAGTATGTTTGTGTTTTAGAGCCTTTAAATGGCTGTTTGCACTGTATGCTTCCCAGGAAGTTGAGGTTGTTTCAGAATGCTCTCAGGTCTCCTGGGATAATAGTATAGATTGTGAAGCACATAGAGCTTGCTATTGAGCTTGGATTTGCGCTATGAAAATGCTATCTATTATCTATTATCATGAAGTCCCCATGGGGCGTGTCACAAAATGTGTTTTTTTAAATGTATGCTAACTGCTATTTCTCCTGATATCTTCATGTCATAAGTCAGCTGTTTAGATGGGCTACGCCCTAAATTTTGCAGTTTCTTAGTTTGCAGTATCGTTTGTATATGCCCATGAAACATTTTGTTGAAATTCAAATTTAAAATATTTGCTATCTGGGCTTAGAAGAGTTGAACAGTTTGCCGGTGATATACATTCTGTAACACTGGGTGAGTGGGCACGTCCCACAAGACGTGAAGTTTGTTGGTTCATGCTGATATTGCTTCTCACTTTTTTATGAATTACTTATGATATTTTTGCGACAAATACTTAATGAGATCGCAGAAATGTTTTCCATGAGCATTGTGTCAGTGATGGGTTGTCAGGGCTGATGTGTCAACCGTGATTTTCTCATGCTTGTACAGTGCAGCCTCTCTATAACGACCTTTGATATAACAACATCCTCTGAATAGTGACATGATGCCCATGTCCCGATTTTTTTCCATATATATCATTAGTAATTTTTGGTTGCCTCTTTATAAAGACAACTCTCTATAATGACATTTTTTCTGGTCCCGATAATGTCATTATAGAGAGGCTGCACTGTATATTGTATACATCAGACCTTTGTCTTTTTTTTAAAGGGTTTTTAAATTTTCATTTTAGTCTTTTTTTACAACTTCTTGTGAAATCTGGGGACTTTGAGAACTACATTAATCCTGTCTCGAGTTTTAGCAAAAATTTACTCAATGAGTTGAGAATGAATGATTATATTTTTATTTACAGTGTGAGGAAGAAGGATAAGACAGGGAGGTCTTGTTTAACAGGTTTGATCCGGTGATTCCAGTTCTTTCTCCCTCCCTTCCCTCCCTCTTTCTCTCTTCAAAGGTTGGTGGTGGCACCACCTATTCAAAGAAAGATATACTTATTTTTGTATTACCACCTACCTACACAACGCGTTCATTTAAAGAATTGTACTTTTATCATATTCAAGCTAATTTTTTTTTCTTTTTGTAATTGTTCCATTCCATCTTTTGTTTTTTTAAGGAGACTGGGTTCTCGGGCATCTTGTTGTTTACTAAACTTAGTTCAAAGATATGACTTGTATTGTTTTTAACTACAGAAGCAGTGAGAGCCCCAATGATTTGAGAAAGATTGTAGAAGATCCCCAACACAAGTGATTTAGTTTGGGTGTTTTGGCCAAAGATCCTTTTTCAACATGCATAGGCACTCACACACAGACACACACACAGACACACACACACACACACACACACACATACATACATACATAGAAACACACACACACACACTCACACACACACACTCAATAGAAACACACACACGTACAGACACATACACTCACACTCACAAGCGCACACATAGAAACATGCACACACCGACTCTCAGACACACGCACACATGCACAATGGTCATACTTTGTCTTTTATACATAATTAAAAAGATGATCTCTGGGTTGTGTTACTGAGCAAAACATCATGTCATACCTTACTACAAAGGGGCACCATGCCACACCATGACAAACTGTGATTATGCGCTAATGTTTGATATAGTTTGTTGTTAAGTAAGGAGAATGATGATGTATGACACTATAGGGCTCAACCCCCATTAAAATGCACAGGCTCCTCTGAACTCTTTATGTATCGATGGCTTGTTGAAAGACTGCGACAAACAGCAAAAGGGCGGTTGTTGGTGTCATGCATCCAGCCATGGATGTACAAAAAAAAGGCTCTCAAAATGCAGCAGTTTTCATTCGGACCAATTTCCCTTTGAGGATTATTTTACAGTTGAGGAGTCCACTTGTAAAAGGGGGGTAAAGTCCTAAATGAAAATGGTGTGGCTATCAATTCTAAAAGCTTGTGGACTAAAAACTTCATTTCTGTTTATTATTTTGTTATTTGAATGGAAAATAGATGAAAACATAATAAACCAACAGTTGATCAGAAATGAAGTTATGTGTCTGCAAAGCTTTTATTGCTGGCTTGTTCACAATTTCCTTTTTGTGACCATTTCTGTTTTCCCCATGGACTTCTCTGTTGTTTTTTCCCTTTTCTTTTTCAAGCGCATTGAAATGTATTTTAAATGGCTGTGGTTTTTCTCGTTAATGTATGAATACCATATAGTTTGATCTCACCATGAGGTTTAAAAGCGTTGCAGTATTTTAGAAACATGATTTGTGAGGCAGTGTGGTGGAATCAGGCTCTCCTCAAAATAATCAAAGTGAAGAAACTTGCATTTTCCCATAGGTTTATGAATTTTTATCAAATTTTTGTTTTTTGGCTCAACACCTTTCATGCCTGTTAAAGAATTCATTTCTGTGGAAATTTTTCAGAAAAAAATTTGATTTAAGGCACAAAAAATGTAAATTTTCAGTTACCACTGTCTCTTAAGCTAAGGAAATAACTAATCTTGGCGGCCATTTTCTCACAAATTTTACCTCTGAAAACAGATGACCTCCACCTCCTCATTTCACAAATATCACGACTTGTATTCAAGATAATTTTTTTATCAAAACAAAGACAATTGAACAAGCTTTAAGGTGATACCAATAACTCTACATCCCCAAAAATTGACGAGAGTCTGATTCCACCACGCTGCCTCACATTTTGAAGTTTTTTGTATATGTTTTATGGTGTTCTACTTATGGCAGCAAAAAAATGAGGTTGGGTTGTTGTTTGTTGGGGTTTTGGGGTGGGGGGGCAAGAAATGTCACACTGAAGTCTGAAGTCTTGTCTTGATTCAAGTATGGTAAAGTTCGACAATTGATAGTATCTTGTATTGCCTCTGTTTTAAGACTGGTATCCTTATGCTGTTCTAACTTTTGATATGTCTGTCTAGCTTTCGAACTGACCAAGCTTGGTGTGCAGGGGTTGTGAGCTTTTTGTTTTAGTTTTTGTTCATGTTTTAAGTTTGTTGAGACCACTAAAGTAAGATTGTGGATGGTTGACTGGTTCTCTGTTGTGGTTGTTCCTTCTTTCTTATCAAACATCTAGATCTATTGTCCTTGGATCTCCTCTTTTTTTGTGGTAACTACTATACTCTCTTCTAAACCTCTAATCTTTGGCACTTATGTGATCGGGCAGATAATTACTTGTGTGATCTAATTATTTTGTTGCTAATGCTGTGAAATTCTTACTAAAACAAAAAAAGCAAACTGAAATAAGATTACACTTATGTCTCAGCAGCACTGAGATATGTTAAAGAACAGTGACAAGAATGTTCTGCTGGTGGTAGGAAGCAAAAACCCCCCCAAACTCTCCAGCTTTTCTAAATTCTAGAAATCTTTTATACAACATTAGCTTAACACAATTGATGCTAGCCGTGGATATTATTTACTTTTTGCCAACATGCCATAGAGTAGATAGGCACTGAGGTGCATGTTTATGTTGTCGTCGGGTATCCTGGCTTGTTCAATTTTATTTTAGTTTATTAATGCTGCATAATTTGTTTTACAATCATTTTCTTTGTCTTTGAGTTTGAGTAAAATGCAAGATGAAGTGAGTGAAGAACCTTGATTTCCAATGTCTGCTTGAGATCCAATACATGTAATTTTTTTTAGTGGTTTATAAGCCTACTAGTTTGTGAAAGTGGTTCATATACAGTATAATACAGGTCTGATGATTTCTGAAGATAAGAATCTGATCAAATAATTAAAAAGTGACTACCTTCTTGATTTGTTTCTTAGATGTGAATATTTTTTTAATGTTTTTTTTTTTTGCTTGCGATGGAGAAAGGGGAGGTATTTGTAATTCTTTTGTTTGTGCGTGGTGTTCATATCTTTGTTTTTTTTTGTTTTTTAATTAATTTTTTTTAAGGAGGGGGAGCAAAACTGCTTTTCCTTTTAATATTATGCTTTTTCATGAGTATCGTGATATTGTTGCTGCTTGAGATGAATTATTATGACTATAATATGCAATATTGTTACAGGACCAAGACTCTATAGAAGTTTCATCTGATTCCCATGATCTGTGTAGATGAAGCCCTTTTACAACAGTCTCTCACAGTGGCAATAACTTGAAATTTGTAAATTGTATACTCATATACTCTGTACCTAGAGTTTATGGTTAGAGTAACGTATACCCCCCTCCCCCAACTCAGCCTTCTTTTTTAACACACACACACACGCAGACACACACAT